CTACAGAGAGCCCAAATCCATTCAAGGAGACGCATTTGCGGGTTCACACAGAGGGACTACCCCGATAGCCCTTTTGCGGGGCTGGGAAGGGGATTAAGAGGTGGGGAATAGAGGAAGTCTGAATGGGAACCTCTGACCGGTTTGGTTGGGGGCCGAGGCGAATTACGTAGAAAAGAGGTAGGGCACGAGATGCACGAACGGGTTGAGGGGTTTGGGTTTTCGAGTTCCGGGTTTCGGGCTTATCGTTTTGGAGTTTAGGCTTTCGGCTTGAGGGTTTAGGGTTTATGGGCTTAGAGTTTAGGGTTTAGGCATGTTTGGGGTGTAGAGTTTAGGGTTCAGGGGACCCTAAATCTCAGACATTCCAAAATCCCTTAATGCAGGAATACACCTTAAACTATACCATGTTCCTTTATGTGATTTAAGGTGGATTCCTTCAGTGAGGAATTTTAGCAAACCCTGAACCCTATGTTAGCGCCCGTCAATGGTATCAAAGTGGAGAGTTCGTCTACATCGGACTGAGATAAGCGTAGATCGAGGTTTGCTCTGCAGAACGATTGGGGACACGCAGAAAACGATAACCCAGCTTTGCATATCAGAGTATCGGACCGATCTTCCGGAAGAGCTAACCATGACTACCCAGACCACCGAAAGATCTAAAAAGTAGATCCCCTAATTTGGGACCCTAACTACTAAAGGGTACTTTATAGGAACCTCCTTAAGGGATCTACTTTCTAGATCTTCCCGGGGGTCTGGGTAATTGTACACCCTGAATCTTAAATTCATGGTTTTCCAGACGCCTTTTCACAGGAGAGTGCCCTCCCTAGCAAGGCATCGTCACCATGACAGGAACATCATACTACAGAGATCGGAATCACATTCCCTTTTACAGCCTATATGTATATATATATATATAGAGAGAGAGAGAGAGAGACTATAGGACAATTATTCAGGCCCCTATGGTGCCAGAAGGCTATTCTGGTGTGAGTATCATTGATGCTTCTGAACAACTACCAATCTAAAGGCGGACGGACTCGACCTGGCTCGGTCAGAGTTCCAGATTTGAAGATTTAGGGGTTAGGGTTTAGGGCGTAGGGTTTAGGGTTTAGGGTTTGGGTTTAGGTGATTTAGGGTTTTGTTGTTTAGGGTTTTACGGTTTAGGGTTTAGGGGTTCAGGGTTTAGGGTCTAGTGCTGTCGAATCCGAAGTCCCAAACCCTCAACCCTAAACCATAAGCAATCAGCCCTGAGCCATGCAAATCCTTTGCCACAACCTATCGGAGCCCGCCCAGGAATGTCGTTACCGGCGCCTTGGCAACACATATGTACCAAGGGCTTCAGCAGAAGTATATAAGGCTTGATCATAAGGCGTTAAGGGACAAGGCTTTTCTCAAATGATCATGAAGAAAATAAGGTGGTAATTCCGGTGCCTGGTAATTAGCCCGTCAGCGGAGTCTGCTGATCTTCCACAGTGTTTGCTGCAAGTTCAGCACTGTCTTCGACGATACTATGAAAGGAGCAGGAACATTTATTATTTAGCTTTCACCGAGTTTGCAAAGAGCCGCTGAGGTGTGTTCTGCAACACAGCCATCGAGAGTGCCCAGTCGGACAAGGACATCGCCATCATGAAGCAGATGCACAAGCAGAGGTGGCAGACGTAGTCAACACATGGGTATAACCCTAAACCCTAAACCGTGGGCCGCACTCTTTTTGGGGATTCCATGAGGCTACTAGCTCCCACACTGAAACTTTGGGCATTTTTTGGTGGGATTGTCGCAAATAAGAGGCCTTAAAATGGTGTCTTGGAGTACGTTATACTGTTATACTATAACTATCACAAGAACTCGCACAAACTACTACTTCACCATGTTTCCTGGATTCCTCCGGCTTGGATTCTAGTATTCAGGTGGCATCGTAGACGATATTGTTCATGCCCAACGAGCTGGGACGATAGCTCCGAGGAAAGAACACTGGACAAGATGTCAGACAGTTCACACAGATTGCACTTCGCAGAGCGCTGAGCGTGCTTCGCTCCACAGCGAGATAGTGTAGCATGGTGTCCCCATGGCACTTAACCCTTAAGGGATGAGGAAGGTGTCAAAGTGGAAAGGGAGCGAGTGTGGCGACCAGTGCAGGCCGAGAGGAAGGAGGTCATCGGCTTGGGCCTTGCGAAAGCCGCCACCACCAATGAAAACAATGCTGAAGCTTGCCGAAACGCTGGCAAAGTATACAGTTTCTCTGCAACACTGAGTTCACAGCATCCCCTCATCATCGCTTCAACAGATTTGCTGACGGAGGGTGGAACTGAGCCGTGGGCGACTGCATCTATGCCGGACAAGGTCGTCTTCAAGCAGATGTGTGAGTTCGTAGCCGGTTGCACAAGTGCCACTGACTTTGAAGTTGCGCTAGATGGCCGCCTGCGGGACACTCGACGGATCATGGTGCCGTGGCTGCCCAGAAACTCCCAGGCATGCAGAATTGGCCAGGAAGATGTATTCTTCAACTTGATGCAGACAGAGCGGATGGATCATCTATGAAGCTGGATGCCCCGCACGCCTGAGCCCTGTGCCCCTAAAGCCGAAACCCTCACATTGAAGCCGAAGTAATTATCAGTATTAGTCTTGGATCATGTAGAAAGGAGCATCACCGCACCTACATTAAGCTTCTAGAATCGTTGTATAGGGTTTTGGGTACTCTGGTTCTTGACTCCGTGTCACCCTAAACCCTAAACCCTAAACCCTAAACCCTAAACCCTAAACCCTAGTCATGGTAGAGGTTGCCTCGAACGAACCTCAACACCCAAAAGGCTCCAAGGTATCGTTATGGGAGATACTTCCCCAAATCATAGTACTAAGTCCTAGTATAGAACCCTTACATTCTACTATATAGGTACTTAGGACCCTTTGGGACATGTGATTGGAAATTAGCTGTTGAAGCCCCTAAACCCTAAACCCTAAACCCTAAACCGTTTCGGAACGGCGGCCCCGAAGCAAATTTCAAGTAGCAGGAGCCGGACTCCGAACTGGGGTGCCTCATCTGTTCTTAGAGCCCCGTAACGTCTTATTCTAAGTATTAAGGCCCCTACATTGTTCTTAAAGCCCAGTAGACTTCATAGACCCCTTGTGTCTAGGACATTTTCAGGTGGCTACAGGAGCCTTATAGAAGTTCTATATACCTTACGGAAGCCGAATAGAAGCCCTATATACCCTAAACTCCCCACCTGTAGTTTCCTTCAGCTTATGAGCCCTTTCGGATCTCTTCTGAAATCCCTTTTAAAGGAACCCGGAACCCTAAACCCTAACCAGAAGCTTCGGAAGGGTCTTTAAAAGTGGATCCCCTAATTTGGGACCCTATATGTACTTCTAAAGGGTATTGTATAGGAACAGCCTAAAAGGGAACTCGATTATGGAACCTTATAGTACCCTTGAAGGGAATCCGAATCAAGAACCCGATGCTACCCTTAAGCCCGAATCCCTAAACCGTAATCCCTAGAACCAGGTTTGGTACAGGGCGCCATCTGAATCTCCCAAAATGTCCAAGTAACAGTCTACCAACGCGTTAACATAGAAGCCTAAATACTTACCAACAATATTCCGTAGGGTTCCTTATTGTCATTATACCATAGATACTTTGGGATCAAGCTTAAACGCCGTGGCAGATCACTGGTGGAAGCCCTGAAGATGACTTAAGCCCGAACCCCTAAACCGTAATCCCTAGAACCCTAATCCCTAAACCCTAAACCCTAAAACCCTAAACGCCGTGGCAGATCACTGGTGGAAGCCCTGAAGATGACTTTCTCCGAGATCGACCACGACAACTCGAATCGGGCGACCCGGCAATGGGCTTTGGGTTTAAGGTTGGTTTAGGGTTTAGGGTTTAGGGTTTAGGGTTTAGGGTTTAGGTAGGGTTTAGGGTTTTAGGGTTTAGGGTTTAGGTTTTTGGTTTGCTTATTAGTGTAAGGGGGCCTAAACAACTACCAATACTATATTAAGGCTTCCTTATTTTAGTTCTTAACATAAAAATACCCCAAAACCCTGTTCTAATTATCAAGGTCCCTATATTGGGGTTTTAGGGTTTAGGGCTTAGGGTTTTAGGCCGATCCATAAGTATTCCTAAAATGGAGCTTTGTTCAGTGGTTTTGGGCTTCAGGGGCTGGCGGCATCCCTTAACCCCCAAGTATCCTACTTTTTGTATGGACTTACACAGTAACTAGCCAAAAAGTTGGAATATCATTATCCTCATGCCCGTAAGGTAAAGTATAGGGGATCCCGGCACCAATCATCATAAACCCCTGTTCCAACATTCTGGAAATCACTATAAAAGGAAATCATATTCAGGGGCGCCGTTTCTTAGGATCCAGAAGGACCCAGTTTGACCCCTGACAGCCAAGGACCCCCATGGATCTAAAAAGCAGATCCGCTGTAAGGGTATAGGGTTCTTTGGTAAGAATAAGGGTATATACTGGTGTTCAGTCTATAAAGTTGGGTTCCCGGAAAGGATCCTTTAGTAGTGTAGGATTCCCAATTCGTCTACTTTCTGTATCCTTCCGGGGTCCTACTACTATAAATCCCTCGGTTTAGGGTTTAGAGTTTAAATTTAGGGTTCAGAGTTGCGGGTTTAGGGTTTAGAGTCTAAGGTCTAGGGTTGGGAGGATTCCCTTAACGGGGTGCTCAGGCAGTGCCCTTTGGTAGTATCAGATACCGAGTTAGTGGTTCTACTTTTTAGATCCTCCAGCGGTCTGGGTATATGGGTAGTCCCTTTTTAGGTCCCCAGTATAGTACGACACCCTTATAAAATGGACCCTAAAAGGGACCCTAATGTAGAGAACTACCCATATGTTGCTGATTGAACAGTTCATTAAACTTTGTACGGTGCACTTCGTCCGCATTTGCCTCAGCTCCATGCCTGGCCTTCTCCTAAGCCATGCAGGACTTGACTTATTTAGGGTTTAGGGTTTAGGGTTTATACATCCCGTACTAAGCCTCCAACAGAAACATGTCCTAAGTGCATCGGGAGCAGTTTGTTAGATATAGGCAGGTATTACAAGTCTGAAGTCAGATTGAAAGGAAAAGCTTTTCAGGGTTTAGGGTTTAGGGTTTAGGGTTTAAGGGTTTAGGGTTTAGGGTTTAGGGTTTAGGTTTTGCTACGCATAAGACCGTGCCAGCACCGAGGTGTCCCTGGACGAGCTCAAACAGGCCGGGCTGTACACTCGGGTTTATTGAACTACTACATCTAGGACATTTTCAGGTGGCTAGTTACGGTTATAGGAGCCTTATAGAAGGTCTATATACCTTATAGAAACCTTACAGAAGCCCTATATACCCTAAACTCCCCACCTGTAGTTTCCTGTAACTACAGCGGATGCTTGTTTAGATGTCTGGTTTAGGCTAGTTTGATTCTAGGGCTGCACCGTCCTCCGAGTCCCTTCCTGGGGGTCTCGTTGAACCTCGTTGAAGCATCTGACGCCCGTAATGAAGCCTTACACTTTTGAGGTCATTGAAAACTAAGGTCCCAAAGAAACCTTGCGCACTTGGATCTCGAGGAGGTTCTAGCAGAATTCCACTGGGTTGCAATAGGGTTTTCGGCTTTATAAGGGGCGGTAACGGCGCCTTGGGGGGATAATTTACGGCTTACGTTGGATGCTCCAGAGCCTTTTACGTACAATTCCGGGTTTAGACAGTGTGTGCTGTTGAGTAAGATAACGTGCTTGCAACAGAAGCCCACTGAATCGCAGAGGGCTTGTTTTGAGGAGTGCAGCGATGTTTGCAAATTCTCATCGGGAAAAGTTGACACTTCGGGCTCCGGTAGGGAAAGCAAAGCTGGCCTTGGGTGCAGACTGTTCCTTAAGGACAAGAAAGGGACTGTGTGTATTATCGGGGCCTCAATAATTGCCTATACTCTTTTGGGGGATTCTCATTATAACTATAGTGTCTCGGAGTATCGTGCCCCCCAAACCCTATTCTAGTGATTAAGGCCCCTGCATTAGATGCAGGATGTCCTTCTGCCGATACCGCAGTTGATGGACAAACCCGTACGTTAAACCCGCTCCGGGCCTGTAGTTCCCATTGCCGAGGGCACTTACCATAGAGGGTTTAGGGCTTAGGGTTTAGGGCTTAGGGGATGGGGTTTAGGGCTTAGAGTCTAGGGCTTTGGGCTTTGGGTTTAGGGTCCAAGTGCCGAAATGACAGGGCCTTAGGGCGCGAGTATCTTACGTAGCATGGTTTTCTTTCCCAAAACTCGGTAGTTGGCCACTTGGACTGTCGGGTTGGCTCCAAGCTCAAACCCAGCTGTTGTTGTCATGTCACAGCTACTATAGGGGCCTAAAGAATTAAGAATTACCTGTACTATTTTGGGGGGTTCCTTATTACAACTACAGTATAACATAACAAGGCCCCTATATTATGCTCGGATGCGGCTTGATGGCTAGACTCGACACCCTAAACCCTAAACCCTAAACCCTAAACCCTAAACCCTAAACCCTAAACCCTAAACCCTAAACCCTAAACCTAGCTTCGTCTCGACCGGCCACTGACTTCCAGCCAGTCCCTAAGACTCCGAATAGCCCGAAGTGGGTACTAGTTCTCGACTTTAGGCCCCTAAACCCTAAAACCTTAAGCCCCAAACCCTAAACCCTAAACCCTTCAGTAG